TTTTGGGCCCAAAAGTCTAGTGCGGGCATCTGCCCGCACTGGACATATAGTGGCTCCGCCCCTGATTATAGTGTATATTGAGAGCCGCTCCGAAAAGAGAGAGGATTATTTAAAAATTAACTTTCAACGTCAACATCACCATGAGAAAAAGACACTTAAATTTTTCTTCTCGATACTCTTCAAGTTAGTTACTAAGGAATGGATGACTTCATTACGTTGATGAGAAAAATCTACAAAAAGTACAGCTTGAATGAAAAACAAAAACTTCAATATATGTGGTATTAAACTTGTTTTCGATCAATAGTGCTACCGTGTAAATGTTTCGATCGATTCTCCTGCAGTCCAACTGGTTAGCATTGGACTGGGCTTGAAATTGGAACGACGAATGACAAAGTCCAATGCTTGTCCACAAGCTTTAAGTCTGTACAAAAAATGTTAGGCCCTAAAGCAACCAGCACAACTCTCGTCCGACTAATAAATACAAAAGTAACTGTTATTTTGACAATTCCATATAAAAAAAAAAAAAACTTTAAATAAGTACTTTTACACTTAAAGCGGAAAGAATTTGCAATTTTGCCTCAAGTACTGTTAAATTAATTCAACCTGCTTCAAAGATTATTGTTTATAAATAGTTTGAATTAAAAACAAATAGAAAAATAAATTTTCAAGAAATGAGTATCAATTCCTAGTCACACGAAATATATGAATAACAATTAATTTGATCATTATAACAAATTATAAAGACATAGAATGAATTAGCCTCCTCTAAAACTACATTTTCACCACACACTGATTGTCTGATCAACACTCATAATTATGTCTTTTGATGTTTTGCGACTCGGTAACTTGTGTTCTCATTGAACCCAATTGGGCCTAAGCTTCCCCGTTAGAATGAAATTATACGAGCAAATAATAATTAAACCATTAGGATTATTTTTCTCGATTTGCTGCTTATTTCTTAATTGAGGGGACCAAATAGATTAATTGATCTTAAATTTAAGCCCTTTTTACACTGGAATTTGGTAGTAAATTTCTTAAAACACGTAAAATTTGCAATCCACTTAGTTGTAGATGGGATAGCAAAATAAATAAACCAACTCAATCTAGTTAGAAAATTGAACAATAGATCAAATCAACTTGCACTTGTTATTTTACATCGAAAATTTTGTTCATTATATTGTCCAATCGAATACGCAAATTCGGACACAACCTTAAACGATTTTACACTTGATCCTCGGCGGCAGGAAAAATCAACCACTCATCAAGAAATGGGCTCTCATCATCATTTACATCCAAATATGGTTTTTCGACATTCAAATCATCTTTCCCCAGTGAATTTTCCACCATTAATTCACTATTTCCTTTACAATCCAAAGAATTCAAAAACCCTATCCACCAAGTGTAAGAAGAACACATATTTTCAGGCCAATCAAAGTCAAGAACTTCCACTGAAGGAACCGGAGCACACACCACTGTAGGTGGTGTTGTAGACCAGGTTGGTTCAGGAAGTGGCATAGACTCCATCAACTGATAACTGTTCTGCGAAGTCCAAGAACTGTTCCCTGCAGTTCCAGGAGTTGATGAAGAAGATAATCTGTGAAGATGTAGAGCATTCACTATTTCTCTTCTAGCTTCAGCCATGTCAATCAACCGGTTCAGATGAGCTGATTTTCTTGTGTAGGACTGAGACCTCCTCCTGATGCTTTTTTTCTTTGCATAATCACTTTTTTTCAAATTTGCTTCTTCCATGGCTAAGTGCAAGCTTTTGGGCAGGCTTTGCTTTTGAGTGAAGCCAAAGGGTTTTAAAATATGCATATAAAAGAGAGTGAATGAATGTGAAGTACACACGTGGCGAGGTGGGTGGGGGTGGCATAAGCATGTAAATTGACACATGGTGAAGAGCTGTGGACACATCATGGACATGCCTGGGGAACTGCTTTTGTTTGTCTGAATCATACACCAACCCATTTGTTAATGTATTGTACTTTGCATTTAATCAAGTTAACATAGAAGAGGAAATAGGACCTAGCCCAGTATTGAAATGGTCCGTATTAGCTCACTTTTGGGTCGAGACAGCTCATGCTAGGTCCACATTGCCTCCGGTTATAGCCTGTCGGACATGCTTGGGTTAGCCTAAATCTTGTCAAGTCGCTTGATATTATACTGACACTCTAACTTAACCTCTCAAATTGCGAATGACAAATATTTTATTTTTTCGTTTATAGAAATGTGAACCGAGTTAGGTAGCATTGTCTAGAAAATGAGGGTTAACACAACTATTGAGAAGGCCGGATTAGGCTTGGCTAGGAAGCAGGCCATAGAACCTAAAAATTTTTAATTATTATGTTTTGATTTTCGATACTTTACTCAAAAAGAATAGAACAGGCAATGTTTTAAAAAATGACTGGAAAAAGAAAAAGGATGATCAGAGGTCGACGAATTTTGGACCGGTTTTCATGCCCAGTTCCCAACTTCACTGGTTGAACCAATCGTGCCAATTGAGGTCTAGTCACATTGCTAACAATTCAAGCCTAGCAAAACTTGCCTCTTGAATCTAGCTGATCCAAGAAATCACCCATTTCAAAGCTTGTCATTGCCATATCCATAGTTCTCCCTTTTCCTTTTGTTATTGCCATAAACATTAGTTCGATTTGTAACTTCTAAATAAATCTAGTAACTTTCTTATGGTTGATAAAATCTAATAGTAATTAACTACTTTCATTGTGATATACTTTTTAACTAAACAGATAAAATAAGAATTTACTAGATTAAATAATTATTAAACCATTAATAAAAATATTAGATAAACTTTACATTCTTCCACTTGACTCCCTATGAACACGTCTTTTTTATTTTTTTGGCTAGTTTAAAATTATCTTCTGCAATGCCCAAGTACGCCTCTCCCATGTCAATGTTTGGAGCATGTTTGGCTAAGCTAAAAAGTATAAATATAAGTAAATGAGTTCTAATGTAAAATAACAGAACTGATCTTTTGCCCATAGTAAACACGAGATATGCTGCCCACTGGTGATGTGGCAAAAGTCTAAAATACAGGTGGGCAACATATCTTCTGTGTAAAATAACTATTTATTGATCAAAATTTAAAATGTTACTAGGCAATATTAATAAAGAAAAACAAGTTTAAATCATTATTTTATCATCTCCAAAGGCGTGAAAGTTGTAACTAACATACTCTAAATAAATAGAAGATTACTACGAGATAGAGTCCTCTAGCTTCTTAATACAGAAAGAAACTGAATGCAACGTTAATATCATTACTACCAATAATTAGAGCTTTTCGACTGTACCTAATTACTGATTAAAGCAAGTTCTGTTAGAAATGAGTTTACACCATTTTTATCCACAAAGATCTTCAACAAAATCCATAAATCACTTATAGAATAAAGCATAAGACTTCCTAACAGAGCAAAGGGTTGAAGATACCCTAAGAGCAATCTTCTCATAATATCACACAGCCTCAGTAGATGCAACTTCACTAGTGCACTGAGATACGTAAGGTTTTAGCTGCAGGCAAGAGGTATAAAGTCTATTAGCACCGGTTACAAGTGATAACAGGTCAAGTATAAAGTCGATGCAAAATATAGATTTCCAAATATTCCAAAAAAGGGGAACCCACACACACAAATATAGAGGCAGGGTCTCATTCTCAAACAGATTAAACACCCTCATATCCCATGACTTTATCCTGCTTTCCTAATATCCTAGCACAGGATCCTACCCTCAACCTCTAGGATAAGGACGACGAGTACCCTTTTGGTAGTACATCACAATGTCCGCTTCCACAACAATCGCCAAAAGTAGCAGGGTTTAGATGATCACCAGAAAATTTTATCAACATTTCACACTATATCGATGTCACACCACAAATGATATGTTGTAAATAAAGAAGCTGCCAGTGCCAATATTACTGTGCTTTGCCCATCGTTCACACATTATCGATCCAATTTATTACCATCGCAATGTCTAATTTAGCTTCCACCACATACGAGCTGCTTTATTACATGACTGCACTCTTGCTGTACTACCCTTATTTGCAGCCACATGTTTCTTAGGCAACCACTAGGCCTGGGGGGGCTTATCACTTGTCTTTATGATGCCCAGAAACCAAACTCTAGGAGCATCATGGTTGCAATCAGTTATACTCTGCATGGTTAAATGCGCTGATTATGGCACTGGAGCAGGCAACTCAAATGCTGCAGTCCTTTGATCAGTAAAATGATTCTTGTTACCACTAGCAAATCATCTAGCCACATCAATGTTCTCGTTATGAAGCTTCAATCCAGAGAATCTACATGGAACTGTCTTCAACTCTTCTTTAGCTAGCCTTATGTTAGGGCTCCACATTGTTTAATAAAATTATATGAGGCTTATGCCTCGAATCCCTTCTCATGTGAGGCTATCATAAAACACCTCAAACCCTGCACCTTAAATGCCATTTGTGACGCTTACACCACCACTTATTAGGCTTATGCTTTGACTCTACAACACTAACTCCTCAAGCCAACTACTGTGTTCACTCATCTGCCTTGCATTTTTCAGAAATAAAATTACTGGACATAGCTTTTTGAGTTATTTCTCTATAACCTAAAATGTTTTACAGGTTTTTTTATTTTCTAGGAAGGAGAGCATTGCAATGGAAGGATAATGACAAAGAATGAAAAGAAACTTATAATGAAAGGATCTTAATGATCGCTGAAAGATCATATTAGTAGTGAGATTTAAGAAATTTTTTGATGTCTCCACTTTTAGTTATAAATTATAATTTTTTAAAACTGTATGTGGACAGCGAAATCTCTCTTCCATGACCTCCCTAATATCCAAACCCAAAACCCAAACCCATGACCAACGATCCACCGCCGACCACTCCTCTCACCGGCGACTGCAATACCGTGTCGGACTGAAACCCTAACCCATACGGCCCCACGCCACACATACAGCCATACCTTCAGGCTGCGGCCCTATGTGGAAACCTTAGCACCGCCGCTCAAGTCCATACTGGAATCAGGGATGCGACCACTTGGGATGGAGTAACGCCACCGGCCGACGGCTTTTCTGGTAGACGGACCCAGATGGACCAATTTGGGATGCAAACCCAGATCACACCAAATCCAGCCACCATTCAGGCAGACGCGCCTGATCGGAGCGCAATGCAAGTGATTCCGAAGCCAGAGGTAGGTTGGGGAGGAGCACGCGCCGTCGGAGCAGCACGCCCGGCGGCCCGTGGCAATCACGCGCCTGCGCCGGAGAACCAGAATGACGGGCAGAATGTCCCCAGCCCAGTAACCATGCCTGTTCTGCCGCCTATTATGCCGTTCACACACAATCAGGGAAGGAAGTTTGTGGATGAATTCGATGTGGCCTTCAATCATCGTTTTCGAGTTGAGGCGAAAGAGTTTGCAATTTTTGTTACCAATCTTGGTGCTGTTAGAATGACCGAATGGGGCTCGAAGATATCGAATGCAATTAGCATGGGAAGGTTCGGTGCACTTTGGATGGTGAATATGGTGGACAAGTTGAGGGTGACTAGTAAGCATAAGAATTTCGTTTCTAGGTTCAATGAGTAATTAAGAACCTTCTTGGCACAGCGTTGTGCAAACCGCCGTGGTAGGTACTTGATGATAGCGCAGTATGGGGATAGGCGTCGGAAAGGAGTTGTGATGGTGCCGAAAGGCGCGAATGGAGAACGATGGGCATCAATCTCGCGGGTGTTTCAAACTGTTGTTGATTCTTTTATTGCTGGGGATAAGGCCAAACGTCGACCGGTGAATGAATGTAATCGACAAAGATTGACCTATGCAGACGTAACAGCAAACTTACATGCCTCGAAGCATGCTGACCAGCGGATGCAACAACAAAAGGAGATGACTGTCAATATTAGTGTAAACGAAGGTCAGGATTATTGTTTGAATAGGGCTGAATTATGGCCCGTGTCCAGGAATTGAAAGGAGCGTTGGAGGAATTGATTAGGCTAGTGGGAAGTGGGTATGAAATGGGTCCCAAGAAGTTGTTATGTTGCCACAAGTGTGGAATGGGTATGGATGAGTATCCAGCTATTGGAAAACAAGCATCGGGATTGAATAAGACGGAATCGGCACATAATCAAGTAAAGCAGGGAAGACTCGAAATCACTTGTGAGTCTATTGATCAGATCGAAACGGATGAGGGACAATCTAAATATGACAAAGGTGATGTCTTAGAGGGGGTGGATATGGATGAGGTCGACGCGGGGACCGATGTAGACCGAGAGGTTGTACTTTTGTCTAAAGAAGGGGAGCCGAGTATGGTGAACTTGGAGACAGTAACGATGAGTGCAATGGACACAGTCCCACATGATGATGGGCTTTTACTAGGTGACCAAGGGACGAGGCATATACTGTCAGGGGTGATAGAGCACGACGCGACACCTTTGACAACAAGGGTTGCGAGCACATATAATAGAAGGAACTCTAAGTCAATGAAGGTAAGTGACTTGGGGACGAAAAAAGCACTGGTCTTGTGGGTAGATGGAGCCAAGAAGAGAGAAATAGAAAGTGATGTTATACAGGTGGAGGAAACATGGGAATTGATTGGATTCGAAGCTGGACACCCACCTTCGAACTGGGTTCTACAGAAAATTCAGGATTTCAGTAAGTTAATGGACGTGTCTTGTGATGGATACGAAAACAGATTACTACAATTGTTTGAGGATTTGGAGGCCAATAGGGGACAGGAGATGAGTAAACAAGCAGGTAAATTAAGAAGAAAGGGCAATCGTTAACTTAAGAGGCTCGAATGGTCAGTTAATTATGATGGCAAGGGTGGTGAGTCCAAGAATGGAGTACTGGGGAGGGATGCTGGACTGTTAAAATGATACCACGAATCATTAGCTGGAATGTAAGGGGACTTAATGAAGTTGGGAAAATGATGGGTGTTCGACATCTGCTAAAGGGCTGGGGAGCGGATCTTGTATGCTTACAAGAAACCAAGATGGAGGTCATCTCGAGGGCGGTGGTCAGTAGCTTATGGGGGGGACAGCATGTATGGTATCAGTTTATGGGATCATCAGGGGTTTCTGGAGGCATATTAGTTATGTGGGATACCAGAGTGCTTGAGATGGAGGAGGTGAGTGTAGAATTGTTCTCAATTTCGATGTCGTTCAGAAACATTGGGGATGGATTTCAGTGGATGTTCATAGGTATTTATGGGCCTAATACTGATGACAGTAGATGAGGCTTGTGGGATGAACTGGCTGGAATGATGGCTTGGTGGAATCTACCAACGTGTATAGGAGGTGACTTTAACGTGGTTCGATTTCCTATTGAAAGGTCGAACGGTGGGAGACTCACGGGGGCTATGGAGGAGTTTTCAGACTTTATAAGGGAGAATATGTTGGTGGATTTGCCCATGATTGGAGGAGATTTTACCTGGTCATCTAATCGGGATCAACCTGTTCTTTCTCGTATAGACAGATTCTTGATATGCGGAGAGTGGGAGGCTAAGTATTCAGATGTCATTCAGAGAAGATTGGGGAGGGTGTACTCTGATCATTTCCCGATTATGTTAACTGGAAACAGGACGGGTGGAGGATGAAGGCCTTTTAGGTTCGAGAAATGTGGTTGAAAGTTGAAAGTTTTAGAGAGCAAATACAAACTTTGTGGACATCTTACGATGTTAGGGGGTCTCCTAGTTTTGTGTTGGATCAGAAGTTGAAGTTTTTGAAAAGAGATTTAAAGAAATGGAATGAGAAGGTTGTGGGCAATGTGAACTGTCGTAAAATTCAATGTCTTTCAGAGATTGATGAGTTGGATAGGTGGGAGGAGAGTCGAAGGTTGGCTGGGGAGGAGAAGGAGAAACGTAGAGCATTAAGGGAAGAATTGGAGAGGTTGGTGGAGATGGAGGAGATTGCTTGGCGTCAGAAATCTAGGGTCAATTGGTTGAAAGAAGGAGATAAATGTACTAAGTTTTTCACAAGATCGCTAATTCTAATAGGCGCAAAAACTCTATCACAGTGTTGGAAGTGGATGGGATAACTTATGAAGAACCACTCGAAATTGGAAGCCAATTGGTGAATTTCTATCAGAATCTATATCAAGCGCAGTTTGAGTGGAGGCCAGAGTTGGAAGGATTGGATTTTTCTACTATCACGGAGGATGATGCCGGGTGGTTAGAACGACCTTTTGAGGAGGATGAAATTAAGGAGGTAGTGTTTAGCATGAACGAGGATAAGGCCACTGGACCAGACGGTTTCTCGTTCTCATTTTACAAGGCTTGTTGGGAGAGGGTACGATCGGAGATTTTGGATGTGTTTACATATTTTTTTGAACGTGGCAGGTTCCAAAAAAGTTCTAATGCTACATTTGTTGTGCTGATCCCTAAGAAACCAAGAACGACCGACACTAAGGACTTTCGCCCTATTAGCCTAATCTGTGGGGTGTATAAAATTATTGCGAAAGTCTTGGCGAACAGATTAAAGGAGGTGCTCGGGAAAGTAGTGTCCAAGTTTCAGAATGCTTTCGTAAAAGGTCGTCAAATTTTGAACTCTGTGCTTATAGCGAATGAATGCATTGATTCAAGATTGCATTTGGGAATTCCCGAGATGCTATGTAAGCTCGATATTCAGAAGACATATGATCATGTGAACTAGGGGTTCCTTTTGTATATGCTTAGGAGGTGCGGTTTCGGGGATAAGTGGTGTAAATGGATCCAATTCTGTATTTCTACTGTTTCGTTCTCAGTTATGGTCAACGGAACGCCGGAGGGTTATCTTCGGAGTAGTAGAGGATTGCGGCAAGGAGATCCACTATCCCCATTACTATTTGTTATTGTGATGGAGGCTTTCAGTAGGATGTTTGAAAGAGCTGTGGGAGAGGGTTTGGTAAGGGGCTTTAGGGTTGGCCAATTGCAAGTGTCTCATTTGCTATTTGCAGATGACACGCTGATCTTATGTGACGCGGATGATGAACAATTCAGGAACCTGCGTCGTTTGCTTCTATGTTTTGAAGCGGTGTCTGGATTAAAAATCAATTTGGGGAAATCTGAGGTTATTCCAGTTGGGGAGGTCACTAACGTGGAGGAGTTGGCTGGCATATTGGGATGTAGGATTGCACAATCGCCCATGTTATATTTAGGCCTCCCGCTAGGGGCACGGTTTAAAAGTACACATATCTGAAATGGTATTATGGAAAGAATGAAGAGGAGGTTAGCAGGGTGGAAGCGTATATATCTTTCTAAGGGAGGCCGACTTACTCTTATTAAATCCACTCTCTCAAACCTCCCTACTTACTTTTTGTCATTGTTTCCTATTTCGGTTGCAGTGGCAAATAGATTAGAGAGATTTCAAAGAGAATTCTTGTGGGCAAGATTAGGGGAGGAGAGGAAAATGTATTTGGTTAATTGGGATACTATTTGTTTGCCTATGAGGATGGGGGGCTTGGAGTGAGGAGTCTTGTTTTGTTTAATAAGGCTTTATTGGGCAAGTGGTTGTGGCGATTTGGAGTGGAAAGGGAGAGCTTTTGGAGAGAAATCATTGGGGCAAAATATGGTATGATGGAGGGGGGTTGGTGTACGGTTGAGGGTCGTGGCTCCTATGGGGATGAGTTTGTGGAGGTATGTCCGACGGGGATGAAGTGATTTTAGGAACAAACTAAATTTTGTGGTGGGAAATGGCACTAACATTAGATTTTGGGATGATAGTTGGTGTGTCGAACAACCGTTAAAGGAAGGATTTTCCTCATTGTACCGCATTGCGTTAGCCTGCTGCTATGATGGGTGATGGATTAGACATTCATAATGGAGGCTATAGTTGGAATATTACTTTTGGGAGGGGTTTACAGGATTGGGAATTGAAAGTTTATTCGTTGTTTTTGACCGCTTTGCATGAGATACAAATTCGGGTAGGAGAGAGTGATTGTAGCAGGTGGAGGTTGGCTCGTGATGGTATTTTTTCAGTCCACTCATACTTTCAATCCCTTTTGGGATTTGTGAAGAGTTCATTACCTTGGAAGATGGTGTGGCAAAGCAAATTGCCTCCACGGTAGCATTTCTATTGTAGACAGTTATGAGGGGGCAGTTGTAAACTGTGGATAATCTTCGACGAAAAGGATTTTATGTAACCGAGTGGTGCTATATGTACAAGAAGGATGAAGAGACGATTGATCATTTATTCATTCATAGTGATGGTGTACGTTGGCTTTGGAACAGTATTCTGGTTTCTCAATCAATGGATTGGGTGCTACCTAGGCGTATAGAAGACGTGGTGCGGGCATGGAGGAGAAAACTTCGCAATAAGGATAACAAACTTCTCTGGAATCTTATCCTGAGATGCATTGTATGGTGTATATGGAGAGAACGGAACGATCGATGTTTCAAAGACCAAACAAAGATAGCAGAGCAGATAAGAGAATTATTTTACTTAACTTTGTATACTTGGTTTAATGCAGTGGCTAAAAATCCTGTTGTAGGGTTGCCTAATTTCATGTTGTTCCTTTCATGCTTAAAGTGATTGTATACCTCCCGTGTACTCTCTTTTAAGGAATAAAATTCTCTGATTACCTATAAAAAAAAAAGATTCTCTGATTTCCTTGATCTATTTTATGTTTTTACAAGTTAGACTTTTAAATTTTTTTTAATTAGATTTATTATGGATTTTTTTAAAGGATTTATAGTATATTATGAGAATATTTTTGTATTTTTATATTCTTTTAAAATCTTTTACTGCTCTATCTTGAGGCTTGCGCGTCACTCATGGAGATAAAATGACTCAGTACCCAATTAAGTCTTTTTAAAAATTAGAGATCCACGGCTTAAAAAGACGTATAATGTAAATATGCTCTAAGGATCGGTCCAAGACCTTCAGGTCTGCACTCCCATTTTCATATTGGAACGCTAAAACCTCAGTTTCCAAGAGGAATAGATGCAGGTTACCCTAGATCTGCATTACAGAAAAAAGTATACAGAAAATATTTGGGTGACGTTTTAGTTAAGTATATATGACTACTTGTGAAATGGGAGTATCAGAACCATTATGCACTTTCTTTGACTTTTTTCTCATTTCTTCAACTTTGATTATTAACTCGATAAACTAATCTCCCTCTACTTCTCTCAAATACCATCTTACCACAGTTCGTACGCTGCACAAGTGAAAGAAATTCGAAGGAATATAAAGCAATTCATAGATAAAAAAATGTTGTTTCCTTCAATGGGTGATAAAATCACTTAGTGCTTCTTTCCTGAGGAATGGAAGCATGTAGCCGTATTTGAATTATCCAGATACACGATGAGAGAAAAGCATCTATGAACTCTGTAATAATGGTTTCTTCTATGAACTCCGTATTCGAATTATCCAGATACACGATGAGAGAAAAGCATCTATGAACTCTGTAATAATGGTTTCGTCTATATGGTACTTGATGAAAGCAGGTAAGAAGTTCATCTTTTTTGGAAAGACCATTTTAAACAGAAACTTTCAATCATTCAAACACTAAAGGACTTATTCTTGTTGTCTAAAAATTTACAGGTTCCTTGCATTCTCACATTATTGCTATTATAGTATTATCATTGTTTATATTTGAAACCAGAAAATATGTTTTAGATAAAGTACCTTGAAGTCAGTCAAATCTGGTACCACATAGTTCGGCAACTTTTCAGGTACCACAATGTAACCACCTGTATCAAAATATTAAAGAACGTCCATCATAAAGAATCTTCTATCTGTATAACAGTATAAGGTTAAAACATTGATAAACTATGATTCCTCATGATTCACAAGGCATATAAACCTCTAATGAGGAGAATCAAACATATCTTACCTAGATACACCTGAAGTTTGGAAGTCTCACAGAGATGCAGACTTCACTAAACATTCAGAGTTCATAGCTAGAGTCTATGGTCACAAATGCCAAGCCTTTCGAATTTTAAAAAAAAAAAGCATTTATTTAAAATCTATCACATGAGAAGACTTTCATATTCTGCATATATTAAGCCATAATTTCTCTAGATTATTTTGTGACATTTTTCCTTCCAGATAATCTTGGATGCCTAGATTTGGAAGAAATATAAATTTAATTAACAACCATAGAATCCTAATTTAGCTAACAGTTTCCTTAGAGACGGGAGAGGATCTTATTAGTCATTTATTATCCTACGGACTTTGCATGACTCTAACGTGACACAAGAACAATCATGTAAAGGACACAAATGAACATATAGAGAGAGAATTATTTGTTTTCAAGCCGATTATAGATTAGTAATTTCACTTCAAGTAAACTAGCAAGTAATAATCTTACAAATCCAGTTGGATAACCTTGTGTAGCATAAACATATTATCACTTTAATCGTACTAACCAACTTAGGTCAGTTAATCATCCCTAGCATAATTGTTGCTGTCTATAAAAATTTCAACAAACATGTGATTCATCATGCATTAGGAGAAATCTTCTTATTCACTTAGCGTCTCTATAACACATGTAAGCACTCTAAAACACAGGCACCAATCAAGATGCAGCAGAAATACTAATTTGGTGGACTTCTTGGATGTTTAGTGGGGAAAACTTCAACATACTTTTCAAATTACTATAGTGCATCAAGTTCACCAAGTGGTCACCTATTTTCTCTAGGACTGGAATACATTTCTAACAATCATATTATTAGCCCAAGTATCATGTAATAAATCAAATAGCATCATTATAACTATAAATCTTCCTGTAGCACAACAAAGAAATATAACTTCAAAGGTTTGAAGTAGATATAGACATTTGCTAACTTGAAAGAATTTAAAGCCCACGAAGCAAATGATCATGCAATTAAAGGGTAAATTAAAATTAGAAAACAGAAGAAACATGAGTGCAAAAACCAATAAAGACCAAGGTTCGTAGAAAAAAATACCTTTACGAGTGTGGAAACCAAAATACTTATTGTTTTTTCAGTTACAAATAAATGAAAACAAAGGTCCATTTAATGGACAATGAAATGTCTATTGAAATTGTGGAATTCAATTAACCAGTTTTTACCCAAAAAGTAGGTTGTTGTATATGTGGGCACCTTAATCTAGAGTTGGGTATACCCAAATTTAAAACATTTTTGGCGTCATTTCACGGTATTGTTTGATACATTAAGTGATTGCAGTGCTGTATTATGATGCATCTGTTAGTGCAGGTTGATTGGCTTGGATTCCTTCATGATTTTTCCTTTCTTTCCACATTATTTCATAATAGTATCCAACATATTTTTGGTTTTGAAGATGTGTTGTAGGCAATAGATTAGAAAAGATGTTTCTCATTTTCTAATAAAGGCCTCTGTATATACTTGTCATTGAACTTCTGGTAAGATTTGTACAGAGATCTTTTTGTTCTTAAAGAAGCAAAATTTGATCTCTTTCAAGTGATTAACGTCTATATCATCAGGATGGATGCAAGAAATGAATTGCTTGCTTAAATGATTCCACCAGTCAGCCCTCTTATCTTGTATATAATTCTTGTTTTTGATATAGAAAATACTAACGAGGGTAGCTAATTTTACAGTTTGCTAGAGTTAAATTTAACTTTACAATCAGTAAAAATTGCTTCTCATTTAAATTTTGAAGGTTTGCTGCTGAAATTTTTCATGATTTGCATGAAGAAGTAATGGCACCTGCTTCCAGATGACACAGCTTAATGATTCGTGTTGAGCAGCTTGAGGCTGAGGTCCCTTTGATAGAAAGTTATTTCTTTCCTAGACAAATCATTCTTCACTCTTTTACGACGGGGGTTGAATATTTCTCTTCCTTCATTTTACTATTGACTGTGTCCACATGTCAATCTCTTTCACGTTGTTTTGTTGAGCAATGCTTTACATGGTGATACTTCATTTTGTTCTTGTAGCTAGTGGCAATTATTCTTTCTATTAGTTATCAAAAACCTCAATAGTAATTATCATCCACTTGATGAGCCAACATAATTTTTTATTTAGATAAACATATTGCTGCCTACTTGTTCATCTGCAACTTTAACGGTTTTCATTCTATAAGGAATCTGCCTAAATCTCCTTCAAGCTACACGTTTTGGATCTAAAATGCCTCAAGTGTCTCGGTATTCCATGATAAAGTAAATGAGACGTTGTGTTGCACGTGCTGATTTCCATCCTAATTTACAAATGAATTAGAATCTAATCACGAGGGTGAATTTGCCTCGATTCATTAGGGACTCCTATGAAGGATGCAGGGGTCTCCCTTGCTTACTCCTCCTAGACAAGTTTGCTTTTTTGTTTACTTTATGTTGAAGTATCTAACAGTGTTTACTCTAAAAAGTAAAATCTCACAAACAAAAGTTAATCAAAATTTTGTTAAATGCTGAAAATATCTTACCTTTACTGGGTGCAGGGGCACGTTTAAAATGCTGCACTGATCCTTTATTCTTTGGTGTAAAAACATCTTCAGCTAAAACGACAAAGGCATATGTTCAGAGGGAAAAGAGGACACTCAAAACTAACATAATTCATTATCTAATAATTGCAACTTTTAGCAATACTTGGGTCTTTGACATCTCTTAGCATGTATCTTTTCCCATTATAATATTTTATACCTTCACATTTGAGCTATTACCCAATAAATTGTAAAATCCATGAGTACCATTTTTATTTTAACATGTAATTGTTTTCTTCTGGCTAAAATAGTATGCTACATGATTTCAAAGTTCAATTTTTTCTAAACATGCATTCTTTGTCGTTCATATATATATATATATATATATATATAAAGTCATTTTCATAAGGATCACGTCTTGGATACCCGAATTGTGTCATTATCACACAATATAGTCTTAAGAAATTTGATTCATAAGGAACCTATCTATTTAGATTTAGAACCGTCGAGCACACATGCAATATAATAGTAGAGAAATCTGTTCTCTCTCTCTCTCTCTCTCTAAAATAGTGAAGTACAATTTCTATATTCTTTCAAATTTGTGGTAACAGTAGAAACCTTTTACCACCTTTCCAGTTCTTTCCTTTTCTTGATTTGGGGAGTTTCTAAATGGATTGTCCAGCAGTGATATACACTTTAGAAAACTGTCTAGATTGTCCATTTATTCTTTCATGCATTATAACAAATTTCTATTGTATGTCTAGCAGAGGGAAGTGCTAAACTGGAGGAATGTAGAAACTCCCAAAGTTAAACCAACCATCACATGCCAAGTTAGATATCTAATATTATTCTTTTGCCATAGATTTCTCTTTTCAATTGATATAGTGCACAAAATGAATTGCTTGCTTAAATGATTCCACCAGTCAGCCCTCTTATCTTGTATATAATTCTTGTTTTTGATATAGAAAATACTAACGAGGGTAGCTAATTTTACAGTTTGCTAGAGTTAAATTTAACTTTACAATCAGTAAAAATTGCTTCTCATTTAAATTTTGAAGGTTTGCTGCTGAAATTTTTCATGATTTGCATGAAGAAGTAATGGCACCTGCTTCCAGATGACACAGCTTAATGATTCGTGTTGAGCAGCTTGAGGCTGAGGTCCCTTTGATAGAAAGTTATTTCTTTCCTAGACAAATCATTCTTCACTCTTTTACGACGGGGGTTGAATATTTCTCTTCCTTCATTTTACTATTGACTGTGTCCACATGTCAATCTCTTTCACGTTGTTTTGTTGAGCAATACTTTACATGGTGATACTTCATTTTGTTCTTGTAGCTAGTGGCAATTATTCTTTCTATTAGTTATCAAAAACCTCAATAGTAATTATCATCCACTTGATGAGCCAACATCATTTTTTATTTAGATAAACATATTGCTGCCTACTTGTTCATCTGCAACTTTAACGGTTTTCATTCTATAAGGAATCTGCCTAAATCTCCTTCAAGCTACACGTTTTGGATCTAAAATGCCTCAAGTGTCTCGGTATTCCATGATAAAGTAAATGAGACGTTGTGTTGCACGTGCTGATTTCCATCCTAATTTACAAATGAATTAGAATCTAATCACGAGGGTGAATTTGCCTCGATTCATTAGGGACTCCTATGAAGGATGCAGGGGTCTCCCTTGCTTACTCCTCCTAGACAAGTTTGCTTTTTTGTTTACTTTATGTTGAAGTATCTAACAGTGTTTACTCTAAAAAGTAAAATCTCACAAACAAAAGTTAATCAAAATTTTGTTAAATGCTGAAAATATCTTACCTTTACTGGGTGCAGGGGCATGTTTAAAATGCTACACTGATCCTTTATTCTTTGGTGTAAAAACATCTTCAGCTAAAACGACAAAGGCATATGTTCAGAGGGAAAAGAGGACACTCAAAACTAACATAATTCATTATCTAATAATTGCAACTTTTAGCAATACTTGGGTCTTTGACATCTCTTAGCATGTATCTTTTCCCATTATAATATTTTATACCTTCACATTTGAGCTATTACCCAATAAATTGTAAAATCCATGAGTACCATTTTTATTTTAACATGTAATTGTTTTCTTCTGGCTAAAATAGTATGCTACATGATTTCAAAGTTCAATTTTTTCTAAACATGCATTCTTTGTTGTATATATATATATATAAAGTCATTTTCATATGGATCACGTCTTGGATACCCGAATTGTGTCATTATCACACAATATAGTCTTAAGAAATTTGATTCATAAGGAACCTATCTATTTAGATTTAGAACCGTCGAGCGCACATGCAATATAATAGTAGAGAAATCTGTTCTCTCTCTCTCTCTCTCTCTAAAATAGTGAAGTACAATTTCTATATTCTTTCAAATTTGTGGTAAAAGTAGAAACCTTTTACCACCTTTCCAGTTCTTTCCTTTTCTTGATTTGGGGAGTTTCTAAATGGATTGTCCAGCAGTGATATACACTTTAGAAAACTGTCTAGATTGTCCATTTATTCTTTCATGCATTATAACAAATTTCTATTGTATGTCTAGCAGAGGGAAGTGCTAAACTGGAGGAATGTAGAAACTCCCAAAGTTAAACCAACCATCATGCCAAGTTAGATATCTAATATTATTCTTTTGCCATAGATTTCTCTTTTCAATTGATATAGTGCACAATATGAGATGGTCCTGTTCTGTATCTTAACTTTTACAGATTCCATCAGTTGTATCTCAAAAAGTGTTACAAATAGCATTAACAATCCTGCGCGCCGTGTGAAACAGAAAAGGAGACCAAATGGAGTTCCATTTGACTCAAAAAAATGGGAAGAGCTACATGGAGAAATTATTGAAGAATCCTTTCCCGGAGCATAAAGTGGTTCATGAAGTCTCCGTGAGCTCATCCCTTTTGAAATTGCCAACGGACGATCATAATGAATCTGGGGTTGAAGTGCTTGAAATTGTACCCTTGAATCCTAATATGAGGAGAAAAAGTAGTCTGTCATCTTCTAACACCGAATAAAAATCTGCTGGAACCATCTGTATATGAGTCAATTGAAGTCTCCACAGATGATAGTCTCATTCAGGTGCCCAAATTAAATAATAGTTTTGAAGCAGTTGACATCTCATGTGTTTTTTACCTCGTAACAAGTAAAAGGATATAACAATTGATGGAGAAAGCAAAGAAGAATGCAACTTAAAATGGTTACTAGATGCACCTTCGACCATCGAGCTAGATATGGATGCAGTCTCTAGATAAAGAGGTAAGATTGACTTCACCTCCTTAATTATGAAGCAACAGCTGTCTATTTCCAATGAGGACGGTGAGTATCCTCAAACCCATTCTTCAGATTCTCAATCAATTGGACGCTCCAGCATATTAGATGGGGGAAATAACGCATACAAAAAAGAAACATCTAATTTTTCCTCTGCTTTTCCAAGAACTTTTGCTGAAAGCATACTGTTAGAAGATCATATTGATTCTGTTGAAGATTTTTCACTAGCTGAATCACTGAAATTGTGTTGAATAGTACACCTTCTTACCAAAAACTTGCAAAGAAAATGATTCAGTGCCCCAACATTTAAAACCAGCTGTTTCTGATGAACCTGAAATCACGGGTCAAAGGCCAGATTTTGGGGAGCTAAGTTCTTGTTCATGTCCTACCATTCCATCTCCTACAGATTTTGATGCAGAAGCACCTGTAGGAGAATGTAGGCTTATGGCTTCTATTCAGATAGGATTCACTCTACAAGTAATTAAAGCGCTAGTAAATCTATAGTTACTGAAGAAAATTTGGTAAAGCTGGTCAACAATCTGCCCTTTTCTCCCAGTGTCTACGATGTTACTTTGTCAATGTGAGATGATTTCTCTAGTTCATTTGCTGGAAATTCTCTAGTGGATGAGTCAAATGATAGGAATGTAAGTATGGGTGAGAATGTATCACGTATATCTACAGTCTCTGATGTTCCAAGTCGTACAAGAGATTTCCATTGAAATGTCTGAATTCCTGCTCAAGGATGTTTCAGATAAGGAGGATGAGAATCTACCGACCGACATAGATTCCATGTTTAATATCAGCAATATCATTTATCATAGCAAAGTAAATAATCCACGAATGATGTTTGCTGACATTCCAATTCCAAATGAACTAGATTTTGTGGTTCCAAATATGGCTGAGCACTGTATGTCTGATCATCTTGATAGTCCTCAAAAGAAAGACAGTTCAATACCTATTTTGTCTGAACAAAAATAGCCACATTGTAAGTTGGGTAATGGGGATCCAAATATGGTTTATAATGCTTTCAATAATTTTTCATGCATCATAGATCTATCTCCTGTAGAGGAAATTGAGGAAACGTCATTGGACAGTATGTTGCAAGCTGTTGGTGCAGAAGATTATTACTCCAAAAGCTCAGTTGACCATTAGTTTGACTCACCAAATTTGATTTCATCAAATATAAAAAAACACTTTCTTGATCATCACTAGGCAGGTCTTGACTCTCAGAATACGGATGAAGGTGTTATTTTTGCTGAAGAGATGGCATCAAATGGAATTTCTATGGTTGGAAACCCCAAATCATCTGACATTAGGGGGTTCTAGGGTACTGGAATATCAAACGATTATTCCTCTCTTGATTCAACGTATGTGAAAAATTCATGTTGTATTCAGGATAATGTTGAAAAGCCCACAGTAATATCCGATGGTGTGTAGAAATGGATGGAATCACCTATTGCATGGATTCAACTGGAAAACAAAGAAACTGATATTACATCGCCAGATGACGTTCATGTACGGTTCGTTGAGATAGATTTTGCAATAGATCAATAGGATGCTATGGATGTGGCTAAGTTGCTACTGGCTCTGCTGTTGATGATGATGAAATAGAAGTTGCTCCATGACATTTGGATCCAGTAGATATTTGTTCCTAATTCATATATTGCATTGGAAGTTGAAAACAGTTTGCATCTTGTTAATACTACTGTAATTAAGATATCTTTGGAGAAAAGAGGCTTATACATAGAACATGAATCTGAGGCGACAAGTAGTCTTCCAAGTCGTATTGAAGATACTTCCTATTTGCCTATCAATTAATAAATAGAAAAAACAATTTTACAAGAAAAGATCGAGTCATTACCTAACAAACTAGATCCGTAGTTCCTCGGGGCAGGTGAAAACAGATTTAGAATTGTTACCTACTTTGAAAAGTATGCAAAAGTTTGATCACGGTGATCATCAAGGATGCAACAATTCTGCTTTCACGATTTCAGATCTCCCCCCGCAGGCAACTATGAGAATGATATCTTTGGACATCCCAAGAATCTATCAATTTCCATATTTCCTCTGATTAACCCTTATTCAGAGACTAACAGATAAATCAAGAAGAATTGCCTCCCTTACTAACCCTCCTTCCACTTCAATGGAGGATTGGGATGCCTAATAATATTTATCGTGCTACAGAGAAAGAGTTAGAGCAACATACTATTGGTTCCTTGTCTTCTCTATTGCCAATGGGAGTTGCCGAGAAGGCTCAATCATTGAACCCAAATTTACCACTCTCTGCTGTAATTGAGAAGGATTCACCTTCTGTTGATAATGAAATGACACGAAACGGTTTCCTTACTGGAAAAGGAAAAATAATGCGGCTTACTTTGGAATCTAGCTCATAGGGGATTTCTTCAGATTCACCTCGATTGATGATGTTAGTTCTTCCCTTGAAGAACTGAACCAATCTCCGCATCAAGTTAGTGCAGAAATCAAATCAAATGAAGACGAGGTTGATTATATCTCTTCTAGCTTGCAATCCAACACCATGATGCATGAGACAGTTGAACTTCTGTCAATGAGAGATAATGAGCAGCCTCAGCTTATCTTGCCACCTTCAGAGGATGAAATCACATTGCGATCTGTGGACGGTGGCATTGAAAATGGGAGTCAAACATACCCCTGACCTCGAAACCCTCTAGTTGATGCCGTTTTCACTCATGATAAGAGCAAAGTAAGCATTTAGTGGTCTCTTTCCTTACCAAAATGCACAATGAGTTCATTGTATTGCATGCGTGCTTGTAACACTTCAAATTATTTTGCAGTTGAAGAAAGTGATAGAACGAGTTAGGCCATAAATGCAATCGATAGATGAAAAAGGTTCGTTCTTGGAAACAAATGAGGACCAAGGTAAAACTAGACTGACCTAAAGTTCGTTATTTATACTACCATCTTGAGCAAATAACTGAATATTGTTCTTGTTTGGTCAGCTCTTTATCCTGAAAAACTGCAATCATGGCAAAACCTAGCATTCAGGTCCTAACACCAATCTTAAAGTTGTTGCTCTTTTAGAAAAAACAAAACTAAAGAAGTTGCTTTACCACGCTATTCATAATAATCAATTTTTTTGGCCACTCAATTACATATAATATTTATTTGGCACTTATTTTGAGCAAATCTTGCTTTCTTGCTTATGATTTTTGGAAATTGACAAACATTATCTTTTTATGTGCTAATTTATTTGTTAGGGGTACAACAAGGCTATTCTTAAATATATGAGTTGGGCCACTCAAATGATAGTAATCGAATACAATAAAAGGTTTAGCATGCCACCATTGAAAAGCAATGAATTTCTAGATAAGATGGCAAAACTAAATACAGACAAGTGGTGTTAGAGATAAGGTCTTCGGTTTGAATTACTACAACGTCATGTTGAGGGATGGATTGTTAGAATGCAATAAGGTTGCTCTTAAGCATCGAATGTCATAATAGATTTAGCTTGTCCTCACTAGATTTAACTGATTTTTGGATGAGATAGACTAAATTCAAACTTAATAATTCTTGGGAAAATATATTTTAGGCATATTTATTATTTAATATTGGCTTTATTAATTAAATATGCTCGATTTTTAATAAGTGTGAATTTGTGAAGTTCAGATCAAATTTGATAGTTGGTCTAATAACTAAATATTTTTGTGTTGAGTTGGTGGATTCGTGTATGGTTCTAAAACTTTTTATGTCCAAACCATATTTTTCAAAGTGAGGATTTTCAATTACCACGTCTTCCGTTCTTAAATTTCATGAGCAAACTTGATTTTATGATATGTGAATTGTGAAATATATGTAAGTTGTTTGTTATCAATTTCTTTTGTACTCAATAGGTTAAGAGTTACAAGAATGTGAAGAAGGGGGAGAGTTTCATAACATTAATGTACTTTGACCAAGGAGAGTTTTGAAAGTAAGTCCAACCTTCACCACTTTAGTGTTTGGTAGGGTGGTTATTCTTACACCACATTTTAATTATATTAAATAGGAAAAATTGCAATCATGGTACCAAACCTTTGATTTAATAACAGACTTGGCCAAAACCTTTCATTTGTGTCATTCACAATATCAAACCTTTTAGAAATTCTTACCTAAAGTCTAAATGGATGGTTTCCGTAAATTTGACCATTCGTTGACAAAAATCTATGGTCTAAGCAAATGTTGACCAATGATTAAAGGGTAAAATGATAAATTTGCATTTTTTATATAAATCAAAATAATTAAATAATAAAAAAAACATTTAAAAAAAAAAAAAACCCACCCACCCGAACATCTCCTTCTTCCCCCATCCAAACATAACACCCTTCCTTTGTTCCAAAATCGTTGTCACTGCAGCTGACCGCCAACCACCATCGCCACCTAGGTGGGCTGCCACCACTATCTCTAATTCACCTAATTCAAAGAAAGGAAAGAGAAGAAAATAATTCTAGATTTACCCTATTTCTTCCACTTTTTCTAGCTCCAAATTCACCAATTCCATTAAACAATTCAAACGAAGGAAGAAAACGGCAAATCAAAGATTTGATTGCACAATAAACAGGGGAAAAAGATAGCAAAGATTTGCCAGAAAGATAGCAAATAATTCAGCTATTCCCTTCACCAAAACTTGGCTGAAGCTCTTAATAACTCCTCCAAATCAAACACCCTAGATTGTGATTAGGGAACTTTATTTTCAATTTCTTTCTATAATTTGATCTGCTTCTTCAGTTTCAAGTTGTCATGTTTGTATTTCAGATCTTTGAAATCAAATTTGTTTTTGAGGTTTTGCCATTTTCGTGGTGTAAGTGGTAGTACTAGTGAATGAAGGCGGTGATGATGAGAAAAGGTGATGGCGGAGGTGTTGGCAAATTTATATCAACTGGGGAAAATGGAGAAGAAACAAACAATCAGAAATGTGAATAAGAAGATGAAGAACATAGTGAATATGAAGGCTCGAACGCGTAATCGCAGTCCTCAAACTATATTTGCCCCTCTAGAAGTTAAATGAGATGCTTAAAGGTTTTGATAAACGATTTGTAGAATTATATCAAGCATTGTAAAGAATTTAACACTAAAGTACAAGTGCAATATTCCAAAACTTTAAGAACACTAAGAAGATATTGCATATGAATGTAAATCGATAATTTGATTCAATATGGAATGATATGTGGATCTCAAGATGTGTTTCAATGTTTCTAATGTATTTGTATTGATCATTGGTCTTTTTAAAATTTCAAAGCATGTTGGTCAAAATGTCTATGTCAATGATCTTATATCACATTATGACCATCACCCTATTTTATTTGTTAAGGATTTCGATATTTACAATGGCTATTTTAACACTTTTGTTGATCCTTTTCTATCTCTACCCGAGAACTCCCACACCGAATCTTTTGCCATCTCTATTCGAATACCACATGTCGCAGCACACAAAGATAAAATTGATGTAATTTTAGATGAACAGGTTGTGTTAACCATTGATGGAGAGAATCGGTGCTTCTTTAATTGTTGGGTAGATCAACGTTCTTATTGTGCTCCACATTATGCGCAATCATGTGAAGATTTTGGAGATGAGTTGCAGGAGTACTTGTTATTTGGAGTCCAATGTCGGTACTTGATTAAAATGAGGGATCGTCCGCCTTGGTCGGATCATATTCTTGAGGACAAGTTGCCATTTGCATTGTTATCAACCGTGGAGTTCAGATATTTGGTTCTTCAAAAAGATCGTCCCCCGTGGCTTGACTTGAAGCATTTGGAGTATCAGATTGACTACAGCCTATACTATCTATCCACCCGACAGGGTCGAGTTTTCTCCCACCCCGGGAGAGTTGATGAGGACATCGGACGACGTTTACTTATTTTATTTAAACTTTATTTATTTTCTTGGACTATTATTTAAATTTGGACTTGTATGGGCTTAGGCCCAAGCTCATTAGGGTTGGTTTACTATTTAAACCTATTTTGCATTGTAACTTTCAGTTGATGATGAATTAGAATTGAAATATTTTTGGTGGCTTGCAGCCGTTTTCTCCCTCCCCTCTCTTCCCCTGGTTTTTTTCTCCTCTTCTCCATTCTCTCTGTTTCTCCTACCCGTTCCTTCTTCTTTCTTTCTTATTCATCCTACATCAAAACGGTTTCCTTACTGGAAAAGGAAAAATAATGCGGCTTACTTTGGAATCTAGCTCATAGGGGATTTCTTCAGATTCACCTCGATTGATGATGTTAGTTCTTCCCTTGAAGAACTGAACCAATCTCCGCATCAAGTTAGTGCAGAAATCAAATCAAATGAAGACGAGGTTGATTATATCTCTTCTAGCTTGCAATCCAACACCATGATGCATGAGACAGTTGAACTTCTGTCAATGAGAGATAATGAGCAGCCTCAGCTTATCTTGCCACCTTCAGAGGATGAAATCACATTGCGATCTGTGGACGGTGGCATTGAAAATGGGAGTCAAACATACCCCTGACCTCGAAACCCTCTAGTTGATGCCGTTTTCACTCATGATAAGAGCAAAGTAAGCATTTAGTGGTCTCTTTCCTTACCAAAATGCACAATGAGTTCATTGTATTGCATGCGTGCTTGTAACACTTCAAATTATTTTGCAGTTGAAGAAAGTGATAGAACGAGTTAGGCCATAAATGCAATCGATAGATGAAAAAGGTTCGTTCTTGGAAACAAATGAGGACCAAGGTAAAACTAGACTGACCTAAAGTTCGTTATTTATACTACCATCTTGAGCAAATAACTGAATATTGTTCTTGTTTGGTCAGCTCTTTATCCTGAAAAACTGCAATCATGGCAAAACCTAGCATTCAGGTCCTAACACCAATCTTAAAGTTGTTGCTCTTTTAGAAAAAACAAAACTAAAGAAGTTGCTTTACCACGCTATTCATAATAATCAATTTTTTTGGCCACTCAATTACATATAA